CTGTCCATGCAAACCATCTCAATTTTCTCCCTGAGTAAATTGTCTCAGCACGGAGAGAAAACACTAATTACTGTAACACACGCTTCATATTTAGCAGTAATTGCTGTGGTATTTACACATGCTGATCAGAAGCAGCACAACACAGTGAGAGTGTGAACCACATGTAGAATGGATGAGGACTGAAGAAGCATGAACATCACCAAGTTGTGAAGCTGGGCTGAGTCAGTCAAGTTCCGGGGCACTGAGCAATCCTTCTGGCATCCTTCTGAACCAGTAATGTGTGTGTGTGTGCTTCTTCTTATCTTCAGGTGGGTAATGCCATCAAGTCGTCACTGCACGGTGCAGCACTGAAGAGCAACAACAAGGAGGGTGCACGGAGCATACAGGTGGAGATAACACCCACCTCCTCGAGGATCTCCCGGAACGCTGTCACCTCTTTGTCTATCAGGGGACACCGCTGGAAGAGACACGGTAAGATGCATACACCGGGGAAACAAAGGAATCTGAGATGCAGGCACAAAGCTGTGGGAGATCAACTGGCTGAAACAAGAGAAGAATTCTTACACTTCATATTTTTTCTGTAAATATTTTGATATCACATTTATATGGTTTTTAAAAAAAAAAAAAGTAGAAGTGTTCGATTGGTGAACAAATGCACGCCAAAGGAGAGAGCACAAGGCTTGTACGGCTTCACTACTGACTCATCCATTTCACTGTCTGACACTTAGTGTGTTCATTATGAGTGTTGTTGTCATCCTTCAGTCCCAAAGCTTGTAGACTGTCCGTCCTTAGCTTGCAGTTAGTACCGTCTGCCTCCATTTTAGAATTTGCTTTTTAAAAACCATGACTTCCTGTTTGATTTATTAGAATTTCTTTGTTGGTGGCAACACGGAGACAAAACAGACATTCAAAATGAAACCACTCAGCCAGGCAGAGAGATTCAATATCGAATTCTGCCAGTGGTAGAAAATAGGAAAGCAGACTGTAAGCATTGATTTCAGAATATGATTATCTTAAGTTTATTTCAACTCAGTCTTTGGATGAAAACAGAACAAATGAGTCTTCCTTTTATTCCATGCTCTTTAGAATAAATGTTTGTGGTTTAGAATTACAAGGGAGCTGCTATCTTTTCTCAGAGTGCAGATAATTCTGGGAAATTACAGCTTTCGGCAAGTTTAATTAGTAGGTGTCTTCACGTCGAGCCCAACACCCATTTTTCATGTCTTGGATCCTGCTCTTTTGAGCCCTGATCCAAGCTTCTCATTTATGCACAAAGCTTTTGTTATGAGCAGATGATGGAGCAGAAAATTCTATTAAATATTAATTCATGTGTAGGGGTGAGTGGTGATCTGGAAAGAACTGCGATTCCATTCAAATACTGTGTTCGTATTCATCTCCATATGGTGTGTACTTTGACCATGTGTTATGTTCTGATCACTATGATTTTTTTGTCTTTTTATTTTTCTGCCATTGCATTGATTACCTTTATGTGTCTTGTGTTTCTGTGGTTGTGCGTGCCTGTGCATATGGGTGTCTTTTTGTTTTTCATGCATGTATGCATGAAATGTGTCTGTCCATTTGTGTGTTTGCATGGGTGTGTGTGTATACATGTGTACATATTGTCCCACTACCCCCCCATGGCCCCCCCCCACCAGAGTCCCAGGAGGTGAGTGTAGACAGTGAGGCTGCGCTGGGGGGTGTGGCCATCCCCGAAATCAGTGTGACAGGCGTGAGCGGCGAGCGAATGCCCAATGGAGACTCCCTGCGGCCACGCGCCGACGGCCGCGCCCAGCCTGACGGCGACATGTTGGGTGCCGCCTCTGAGGTCAGCATGGACCCCCGAGGCCATGACTCCGGCACACGGGGTCAGGAGGTCAGGAGGCAGAAGTCTGTGAGGCGAATGGTGGAGAATGAGGGTTCTGGGTCGGCCTCCACAGGGAGGAGCCAGTACTAAGGTCCTGCCCCTCCTTCCCCCTGCCCCACTCCCGGGGTAACCTAGGTAACCGTGTGTGGGGGCGTGATCTTAAAAGCTGCATGCGGACTTCCCCCTTTTTTTTACCTTTTGCGCTGGACTCCATCACCCTCTTTTGGCTTAATCGCACTATTCCTCTCATCTCTATCCATCATCATTCATTCATTCATTTACTCTCTCCTTTGTTGCTGAAGCTTCCTCACGAAGATCTCCTGCTGAAAGATCAAATTAATTATTAAAGATCTCCCCGAATAACAGATCAATAACCTGATGAAAAATGCATAACAATGAAATGTGTTTGAGTGAGTCCCGTTAAATATAATGTGAAGTATTAATGCTGAGTAAAATGAAGTGAATCATATTAAACACAGAGAGCATCAGTTAAACAAGGAACATGAGTATAAAAGCAGTTTAATAACATTTAACAACAAATATATCACACACTTTTATGCTAGCTCTATCTTGTTTGGTACAAATCCCACGAAAGCTGATAGTCACCGATAACAAAGTCCTAATGACCTTGAATTGTAAACCCCAGATATCTCTGTTAGCAGTTCCAGGAGCCTGTTCTCCGACATTGTTGTTATGGAGACTAGCTGCTGGGTTTTCACCAGAGGGATCAGTACACTTTCTAGTCTTTTACCTCACACGTGGTACGCCTCGACACATTAGTCCTGGGTTGCACCTGGAAACAGATGACTTCCTTCTGACTGGTAGCTAGGAGCTGAAGACAGATAGGCAGGTCTTGATCTCTTGTTTTTTTTTTTTTGAAGCAAAAGATACTGACATTGATAAAGTTCAACTGATGGCTCCAGACCTGTTTTAAACAGGCTAAATGTGACCATAAATGACTTTAACAGGACCTGCTTATCTGTCAGTTCATCAGCCGTTACTGGTGTTCTGTTAGTGATAGCAACCGACCAGAAATGTGTATTTGTGAACATGCAGGTGGTTTGCCGCCCACACAGGTGTGGATGCATGCCTTAAAGAAAGCAGGAAAGCTGTTTGTGTGTGTTCCTTGAGAGTCAGTGAGGAGAAATGTGCATTTAGGGTGTACTATTTCTGCCTGTGTTCGCTTTCCTCTACTTTCCCTTTGTGGTCTTTCCTAGGCTTATGCTCTTAGATGCTGTCCTCTCCTGCCTTTGGGACAACACGCACTCCTCGGCCTCTAAATCACTGACTGTTGTCTCACAGTGCTGCTGATTTTCCTAACATGTGTGCTGGGCTGGAACTTACATGTCTCCTGTCAGGTGGCGAGTTGTCCCTGTTAGCTGTTACAGTGTGAAGGCGCCACCTGCTGGACAATAGTAGACCTCGTCTGTCATCCAGCCACGGTTCCGTTCAAAAAATTGAATACACAATATATTCTTTATAGACCTTGTAATTCTAATGAAAGTTTGATGGGATTAGATGGGCTGGATGACAGATGAGGCAGATATTTTTAGCTCTTGATTTTTATGCGAGTGCTTGTTTGTCTCCCTCTGTCTGTCTCTCAGACGCAGTGGATCTGGGTTCCCCGGATGAGCTGATGGATATTTCAGAACTGGACGAAGGGGTTTGGCCAGGTGGGGTGGGGCCTGACATGACCCCACCCACCATCACTATCAGCAACAGCGTCACGACGTTGAACCTGGGGGCCAAGGCAATGAAGAAGTGTCGGCTTGGCGGGCGCACCAGCAAGGACAAGGACAAGGAGGCGGGCCCTCTGACAACGGGCCGCGCCGCCAGCGAGAACACAGAGCTGTCGGTCAAGCGACTAACGCTCACTTCCAGCCAATCCGTGCCCAAGGCAGGAGCTCTCACCAGCCTGACGCGCACTGCCAGCGCTGTCTTCTCCCGCTCCTTTGAGCAGGTGGCCAGCGGCAACGCCCCTCCTGCCAGCAACCACACCGCCTCTGAAGCCGGCCGCTATTCCTGCAGCCTGCAGGAGGAAGGGTTGGGGTACCTGAGTCCCGCGCCAAACCACACACAGCGCTCTCCCAGCATTAGCGTACACCTTGGCTCTGACCTTTGAACCCTTTGTGACTCTTGACTGTACGAACCCTCATCTCTGATCCTGTGACCCTGTACCTGTGACCTGGAACTCCAAGCCATGCCAACTTCTGTGCACCACAAACACACGAAGAAACACTCCCACCGTTTCCCTCCCCCGTCACTCCATTTTGGGCGTCTTTGATTCTCTGTGCTGTAGACTGACCGGCTGTCCTGCTTCATTCAGACATCCAGAGCACAGTCAGCTCCTCTCCCCCAGCAGAGTGTCCTCTCAGCCTGATGGAGTCAGAGTGTCAGGGATACCACTTCCAGCTTCACTGATTTTAGTGGTGCGCCGTTGCAGTGAAGCAGGAAGAAAAAAAGAACTGCGCTCCCTCGGAGAGCGGCCTGTCATAACTAAAAAAAACTGTACGGAAAAGTGTTTGGAAAATAATTTAATCAGCATTTGTTGCCCTGCATGGCTTTTCCATACATCCATCCTTACCTTGCCCAGGTTTGTCAGAGGGCAGGTGTTGAGTATGTGTGAGCATGCTTGTGTGTGTGTGTGAGTGTGTAATGTATGTGTGTTTGTACAACTGTTTTTAGAAAAAAAAAGGCTGCTGATCGATACAGTGAACAAGGTATGATTCTCTTAGTTGAAACGAGTGTTTCTACTACTTTTTTAAGAAAAAAAATAATGGATCCCTTCCCATAGCAATACAAATCTATCCTGTTCAGTGTTTTTTTTTAAATCTTTTGGGCTGATTACCAAACGTCCACACCTGTCACCTGTGCTTCTTTAAAGAAAGTCCTCATTCTTCCTGACAAAAAAAAAGAAACAATGAGAAATAACCACTAAATAATCAAGCAGTATAATAAGAATCAGGTCTTTGTTTACAATCACAGTATTCTGATCACGATGGAGAAGCAATATTCGTGTCCTCCCCCCCCATCGCTCCTCGAGCAGCTTCCTGTATTGCTGTGAATTCGATGGCAAGCGTAAAAGAAAAATTCAACTTCTGACAAATGATAAAGATGATTCAGATTCTTGGGGACGATGAGTGCGTACGATTTGTTTAGGTATTGAATTTTTTGCACATGAAAGAGCAAATGAGTTGTGCTTTCAACTTTGGTATTTTCATATGAACAAGAGAGGTTTGACTCTCAAATGTGGTATTTTCCTGTGAGAGAAATATGCTTTGTTGCTCTGTAATGATTCCTTCCTGACTCTTGTGTGTTGCCACCTATCCGACACGATTTAAAACCACAACAACCTGCAGTTTACTTACTTGCACCGATTAAAGAATTTGATACCTCTGAGTAAAGTTGTGTTAGTTTAACCAAAACTTAAGCGAATATGTTCCTATTCTACAGTGAGAGCACATCTGGGGCAACAAGGCATCTTTCCTGTCTTCAGATCCACCCACCATTCCAGCTGTTTGTTGTACTTTAGTGACGTGTTTCCTTGCGTGTTCACCACATCGTCGCGTCGCAAGACATGATGATATTCTCTTGTACCAAGAAAGGAATAAAACTCAAAACCATCTGCTACAATTGATGTCCTAAATCAAGCATTCATGCTGCCCCACCCTCAAGCAAAACTTGTATTCTGTTGTCTGTGTACTAGCGCTGTTGAGTGTCCGTAGCTTGGTGGGACAATAACAATCATGTTTCTTTGTATGTTGGTTTACAGAATGTGAATGGGTAAGCTATTGTTGTACATCATACTGTTGTACTAAAGTTGATTATATTGGCCTTTCTATGTCTGAAAAATTACTCACCGCTACAACTTCTGGGAATAAAGTGTTTCTATATTTCACTTCTTTGCTCAGTAATGTTTTTTTTTGTCTACGAGGGATCATGAATCAACATTACATGAAGACTTTCAAACTAAATAGAGGTTATTTTTACCCTAACATATGCTCTCTGCAAAATGTTAAGACTGTCTTGTTGTACACATACATCTACGGCTGAAAAACACATTTTATCTAATGTGTCTATGAGAAATCAGCCTGTGTTGCCAGGTTAAATACTACTGAGCATTGTCATTTCTTCCACTAGTTATCTGTTCAACACTGGATGTATTTTTATAGTGTTAGAGGCTTAATTGGGATGTAAAAAGTTAGAATTTAAGATATACAGTTGAAACCTGAAGTTTACATACACTATAAAAAGACACATAACTGTGCGTGCATTTGCAAACTGTATTCTGGCTTTTTTGATGTTGCTTTTGGAGTAAAGTTCTTCTTCCTCTCTGAGTAACCTTTCAGCCCATGTCGGTACAGGACTGGTTTCACTGTGGATAATGACTCTCTGACCAGCTTCAGCAGCATCTTCACAAAGTCTTTTCCTTTTGTTCTGAGGTTGATACGCACATTTCGCACCAAAACACTTCATCTCCCGTCTCCTTCCTGAGCAGTATGATGGCTGGACATTGCCATGGTGTTTATACTTGTGTATAATTGTTTGAACATATGAACATGGAACCTTCAGGCATCTGGAAATTGTACCCAAGGATGAACCAGACTTGTGGAGGTCCACAATTCTCCTTCCAATATCTTGGCTGATTTCTTTAGATTTTTCAATGTTGTCACAAAAGAAAGCAGAGTGTTTGAGGTGTGCCTTAAAATACATCCACAGGTGTGCCTCCAATTAACTCAAATGTTGTCAATTAACCTATCAAAAGCTTCCCAAGCCATGACATCATCATCTCGGCTTTCCCAATTAGTTTGAAGACATAGTAATCTTCGTGTATGTAAACTTCTAACTTCTGAAACTAGTAAAACATTCTCTAAAAAAATTATCAGTCATTATTGTGGCATTTTGCAAATATAAATAATTTAGGTAATCCTAACTGACATAAAAGAGGAAATGTTTAGTCTCATTTAATTTCAGACAATGAGAGAAAAAAAAAGGTTATATGTCCTTTATCACAGTGTATGTTATCTTCGGGTTTCAACTGTACATAAACAATTTTGTCTTATTCAACTTTTGTGCTTATAGCTTCATAATCAAAATTTCTTTGATTATTTATTTTTTACAAAAATGAAAGAAAAAAATCCTAAATTAACATGTACAACAGTTTTCCATGTGCCCACGAATGTTATGTAATATTATAGATGTTCTTTGATAATAATAATAATAATAATATTATTATTATTGTTGTTGTTGTTGTTGTTGTTGTTATTATTATTAGTTAGTTTTAATGTGAGTTGCAGGGGAGCCGCAGTAACACTTCTGTCCACAAGATGGCGGCCGGTCACAGACGGACGCTGTCAGGTAAATCTGTTGCGTCACTTCCTCCTCCCTGTCCTTGGAAGCAGCAGAAGCCTCGCTATTCAGGATAAACTAATGGCTAAACTAAGTAAAGAGACCAAACAGCGGCTGCAGCAGCTATTCCAATGCGGCCAGTTTGTCATCCGATGGGGTTTCATCCCAACCGTGCTGTACCTCGGTCAGTATCCGAACAGGAGCAGGGGAATGTCGGGGAGCTGAGGAGGCATGCCTCCCTAATGTTAGCTAGTTAGCTTAGCTTGTTAGCCTTTAACTACAAGCTAGCTATTATTGTTATTTTGTGGTAAATGAGGGAGGCGTCGCTCTTGGGAAGCATATAGCTATTGTTACATTACGTCTGTCATACTAACAGCGGCTAAAAATATTGAAAGAACAACATTTTATTACTGTAACATCAGGTGTGTTAAGTGGAGCTCAGCCACACGTTGTAGCAGCATTTGCCCCCGTGGAAAAGTGCTGCGGTGCACGTAAAGCACTGTAGACTGTGTTGATGTTGAATGAGTGTAGGAATAAACTTCCTTTAGTGTTTCTGTGGGTGAATCTAAACCGAAGTGATAAAACTGTCCTCCTTGAAAGCAAGCCGTGGCACCTTAAACTGGCTGAGGTTCTCAAAAAGGTGATAAAAGGTGATGATGCTTTCAGGGTTGTCCACATCTGCTTGGATGCAACAAGCTGTTGACCTTGGTGGTGTGAAGCAGACAGCCCTGGGTTGAAAGTTCAAAACTGTTGTTCTCCAGACATCAGAATCAGCTTTGTTGGCCAAGTATGTGTACAGATACAAAGCTTTAGACTCTGTTTGCTATAAAAGACAAGAAATCCATGCATTTAATTATTTTAAAAGCAATAAGTTAAAAGTAAGGGACAGGCGTGTTTAGCAGCTACGTGGAGCTGCAGATGTGAGTAAGAGCACGTTTTGATCCAAAGGTTGACCACAAATTGTACAAATTCTGATACAAAGCCAAAACAGTTGTTAACAATAACCACAGTAACAATAGCTCTGTAATTTCTGCACCTGTGTTTTAGTGCCACATGTCTGTTTAAAATACCTGGTGGTTTAAAGTGCAGCGAGACAAGCTTTGCATTGCTGAGGTTTAGTTGGGGAAGTTGAAACTTTTGCATGTGTGAGCTCACAGCCGGCGGACTTGCCCTGTGAGAGTGACATTTCTGTGGCTTCAGCATATGGGAAACGCCAATGCTGATGTCACACTTTCTTCTATCTGACTTTCCTACCTTTCTTTACGTGTTTTTTTGCCCCCCCACCCCCACACCCTTGCATGCGTTTCTCTTCTGCAGCTCATTTACTTAAGGAGAGAGAGTTTTTCCTGAACTGAGTATGCGTTGCCCTTGATTTTACCGCCATCTACTACCATCCATCCATTATATATACACCGCTTAATCCTCATTAGGGTCGCGGGGGGGCTGGAGCCTATCCCAGCCGACTTAGGGTGAAGGCAGGGGGCACCCTGGACAGGTCGCCAGTCTATCGCAGGGCCACACTGAGAGACAGACAACCAAGCGCACTCACATTCACACCTACGGACAATTTAGACATCTACTACCATTTAAATGTTTATTTAAAAGTCAGCCAATAAAATACTTAATGCAGACAAGGACGGACGTAGTCGCTGAACAAACTATGGACCTCTGTAGGGTTCAGTTTAAACATTTTTTTGACCGTCTTTGACAGTAAAATTAATGCTGAAGTTTTTTTTTCTGTCATATTATTTATTTATTAATTATTTATTGCAAAATCATAAAAAAAACTAGTGCCCTGTTGTTGCCCCAAATTAAGAGAGTGGTTAAGAGAGAGAGACTATTTTTAGGCTTCGAGGAATTCCGTCTTTTTCACAAGTACTTATTGCATAATGGTTGACTTGGGATGTACGGTGGAAATGAATGTGCTGCTCACTACTTTCTACTACGCTCCACCGGTGTTGGTGTGTTGTGATGCAATGGTGTAGTTTATTGAAACGTGGGTGTTTTGCAGGGTCAAAACGCAATCTGCTGACTCATCGTAAATGACTTACTAGAGCATCCAGTCTCAAAAGGATGTGCCTAATTGTTAAGGGATTTTTTGTATGACTTGCAGAAGCAGTTCACAAATGTGTGTGTAAAAAAAAAAAAGTACTTTCACCCATTCTAGGATTTGCATCTAGCTGCAAGCCATAAAATGTAAATCAGGCTCTGTTTTTACTTCGTCATATATTTCTGGGAACTGGTATTAAATATAAATCAGCATCGTTTAATTGTTCTTTGTGGTTTTGATTTTGCAGGTTTCAAACGAGGAGCAGATCCAGGAATGCCGGAGCCTACAGTGTTGAGGTAGGGACAAGCTGATGTGAGATTTGTGGACAATAAGAAAACTTTTAGAATCAAGTTCTTTGCATCAATGGAAGACAAATTAGAGCCTGTCAAAGTGAGGGAGAAAAAAGGGACAGCCCATAATACGCAGGATGAATGAAGGAGAATTCTGCGCTCAAACACAAATCAAGACTTGAGGATTCACTTCAGTTCAATGTATCCGTAAAGCCCCAAATCATAGCATATGTCAACTCTGAACTAACCCCTTACAAAACTCTAGAGAGAAACCAAACAGTTTCCCCTTGAGCAAGCACTTGGTGACAGTGGGGTGAAAAAAATCCCTTTTTACAGTAAGATGCTAAAATAGAACCAGACTCGGGGTGGGCAGCTGTCTTGTCTTGGCCATTAAGGGGGTTAAGGAAGAGCAGAGAGAGAAAAGATGAGCATTGAAAAACAACAAATAGTAACGAACACTGAGCAGGCTGGTGTTGATGGTATCTGCCCATCAGAAAAGCTCCAGAGGGGCAGAGTGAGCATTAGGACAGAGGAAGAAGCAGAAACTACACGAGGAGGTCGGTGTATCATGGAAGGTACCCCAGCAAACCCAAAGCAGCAAAAGTAGAGGATGGTTTGGGGTCACTTCAAGGTTTTGTGTTCATATGGAGCCAATTCCAGGAAGTTAATATCGGACAAATACGATGTCTCTCTCTAGTTTATTTGGTCGTCTCACTGCAGCATTTTTGATCAGCAGGGGGTTTTCAGAGAGTTGCTGTCACATCGTAATAATTAGGAATAGCAGTGGTCTCACCTACAAGTAACACATGCACAAACCATTATTATTACTTTTTTTAGCATCAATCTGAGGCAGGAGGTTCCCGATTTTGACAATATTGTGCAGGTGAAAGAAGGACGTCCTAGAGACTTGTTTAATGTTTGAGTTAAAGCTGTGGTCCCCAACCACTGGGCCGCGGACCGGTACTGGGCCGCACAGAAAGGAAAAAAAAAAAGTTTTATTTTTATTTCCAGCGCAGTCTACAGGGTGTTTTATTTTGAAAAAGTACTAGATCATCTTCCCGTCACTTTTGTCTGTGGTTGTTTTCCGCACTTGACTGTCAGTTTTCATACTCGGCCGTTAAACGAAGCCGTCAGTCTAACAGCTGCCGAAATGTATGAAAAAAAACCTCAAACTTCTCCAAAAAGCTTCTTTGGATAGTGGGAGAGACTCAATGCTGAGACGGAAGAAAAAGTAAACACATATTTAACAAGTCATTTTATTCATTTCTGAGACTTAAAGAAAACTAAAAAATGAGACTAAAAGAAAAAAATAATATTTTGTCATGTGTGCAATGACCGGTCTGTAGAAAAATTTCTTGCTTAAAACCAGTTCGTAGTGCAAAAAAGGTTGGGGACTGCTGAGTTAAAGGACTTATCCAGCACAAACATAGAGCCAAATGTTTTTAGTGAGGAGAGGCTCAATATCCTTCACTCCCCTTGTCCTCAGAACCGAAACTGCGTCGGAGACGACAGAGTAAAGTGTGAAGTTTCTCTAATCAGTTCAGGACGCCGACCACCCCACATTGGAAAACCCCATTACGTGTTCAAAATACTATATCTCACACAGTTTTATCTGTAAAACTACTCGAAACTAAAAAACCTTCACTTTAATGTAGAATCTGTCGCCTTCTTTCACATTGAATGTGCTGAAGCCTGATGAATGAAAGAAGTGTCCTGATATTTATGATTTGGACCGGGTTTCCTTTAGTCATGAAATAATCGACCAGTTGCACAAGTCATTTTAATAACAGGTAGAAAAGTTTTTACGTATTTAATGTGGAGCTTGTCATCAATGAGACAAACCTAATTATTTTGCTTGACATTGTGATTTCAGTTAAATTGCAGTTGTGACAGCACTACAAAAGTTTTGCATTATAAATGATGCTCCGCTCCATTTTATAAGTAACGATACTTAAACAGTGACAGTGTTTTAATATTTCTTGTGAGTTGCGTAAGTGTGCTAACAGTCGATGGTCAGGGTGAGAGCCCAGAGACACAACAAAACCTGTTTATTAAGGATGTTTTACCTAAATACGGACAGAGGAAGCCAACATGTCCAACTTTCCCCAACAGACATCTTGACTTGGAAGGATTCAAAGAGCAATGGGTTAGCAGATGTGACCGATAATGTAGTAGCATCCTGCCTTCAAATACAGTCGTGACTTGATAATCCGACACTAAATGTAAAACCTTCTTTTATTTCGGATAGATACAAGGAGGGCCTGATGCTTGAAGGGTCATTTGTCGTTAATATTTATTGTTTATAGTTGTCATAACTAGTGTATTGTTAGAACACTATGCATCGCTGGATTTCACGCCTAATTGACCAGTGGATTGTGCACGTTCTGGCCACTTCCACCCCATCAGAGCACACCCCCGGGGTGGAAGTGGCCGGAACGCACAGGTATTACTTGGCTGCTGATGCTAGTTTAGTTAGCGCTCACACTTCTGTTTCCACCATCGGCAGCGACGGGGAAGTGGCGGGCAAGATGCACTCCATCGTTACCATCCATGTTTACTTCCACAAACACTGAGCAGGCTCGCTGCGTGTGACGTCGTTGTGTCCTCTTCTGTGCATGCGGGACACTTTTGGGTCGTATGAAGTTCACACAGCAGATCACATGCAAGTTGTATTTAATTGGAAATGTGAACAAACTCACAAAAAATCTGATTTCACAAAAAAATCTGAATTGAGCATCAAGTCCTGCAGTCTGAACGTAGCCAATCTGTTGGATTGTTCAGTCAGATAATACGCCGTTATCCTTATTTGTGACATATAATGTCAGAGTCGGAGTCGGAATCCAAGGCTGTCGGCATGTTAAGGCTATTTTCTATGGGTTCAGTTCGTTTTTCCTAAAAACCTGTTGGATAGCGAGGTTTTCAGATTGTTAAGGGTCAGATTATCAAGTCACGACTGTACTAATCAAACAGGTGATATATTCTGTGACAAACTGACTTTATTTTACTTTGATTTGCAGCCTAAATCTGATTTTTTTTTTTTTTAAGTCAAAAAAGAAGAAATGTCCTCTTTTATCCACCACAAACACTCCAAGGTTGAAACTGAAGTATTTTAACGAGTGCTCAATAAGGAGTTAATTCACTGTGAGCTACAAAAATTCCAGCGTTTATCGACAGCACTTGTAAGTGGTCAGACTAATTTCTGCAGAAACTGGATGAATGAAATGGTCACACAAGAGCAGCAGCACATCGCTCTCCAAGTATCTTTTTATATGTGAATGTGTTGATCTTAAGTGTTGCTGTTGGATGTTTAAAAGGTTCTGATCAAACCATGGTCCAGCAATTTCCTACAGTTGTTTAGTTACTTGTTTTTGCATCCTCCACTGCCGTGCACCAACATTGTCAAAATATCTTCAGATTTTAGTTTTTAATGGATGCAAACATAGAACATTTTAGGTTCCATGTTCTGTTCTCTGTTCGTCCATGACTTTTCCTGATGTTCTGCCGTAGTATTGCTTTAATATCTGTATGGACACATTTAACCGGGTACGAAGATCAGAATTTTGGTATCATGACAACACTACAAGACTCTTCCACTCAGTAATTTCTGTGAGAAAATGCCAGATATCGCGCACTGTAGTTGTCGCGTGCAGCATCGCTTTCCGCCATCTTCGGTTCCCCTCGCTGAACATCTTGACAGTCTTGTTATATCACCAATAACGTCAACTTGGGTCTTTTATCACCTGTAAATCTGGATGTTGAACATCCTACAGAAGATGATTTAAATTCTTGTTGAAACAAAGCTTTTTCTTATGTTGCAGCTGTGTTCAAAATGTTTTTTTAAGGATTTGTTGCAGTCCAAAATGGCGCCATCTGCTGGTCAGATCTTTGGTGTTGCATTTGTATAAATTAATCCAAAAAAACGTGACCCCAGTATAAAACGTTGGACCTTCCACGGATTTTTTTGTTGGTATTTTGTTCAGTAATGCTTTAGGGCTGGACCCAAAAACTGACTATTTGTTAGCTGTGCTGGTATCGGGATATCAATTCTGATCTCCGCACCACGCACCCCCCATCCTCCCCGTCGGAACGAATACCCACTCGCCACCACCGCGCGGCACCCCCAAAATATTCGGGATATTAATTGGGGCCGAATATCCGGAGAACAAATTGTATTCGGACCAGCCGTATAATACTTATATTCTGAAAACCAATCACATTTGTTCTGAGTCTGTACTGCTGGTTTTCAGTAGTGAGGCAAAGTGAGAAGCAGATCCAGTTTTCCAAACCAACATGAATCCTTTGATATGAATGTGACTAAAACAAAGCTTCAAAACCTCAGGCTGCGATGCTTTTATTGTGAAACGGCATCAGTGGGCAAAATAACGTCACTGCTTTGCAATCAGGAACAAGAAATTAACACGTGAACAAAACCAACCTTGACCACATCAAACATCAGGCTTTCGGGAGGATTTTGTAAATTTAAAAACATTTTCTTTATTTTTCTAGTTTGCTGTGGGGCTGAGGAGCACCTTCACACCACCGATCCCTTTTACCGCATCGAGGTCATGTAGCTGACGTCATCGGAAAGCCGGGAAATGGATACCATCTTTTACTTTCCTTTTTGCAAATCCTGTCAGTCAATGTCTAATGAGCGAATGCGATCTGTTTCCATGTTGAGTGTGGTTTTGCTGCATACACAGTAAATGTACAAAGAGTGTTGACTGGACTATCAGTTGGATGTTTTTTTTTGTCAATGTGTGACGCTGATGTTTGAGGATCTTTTTCATGTGTTTCTCCTTTTATTTTGTAATTTAAAGTTTCTGAAAATAAATCCTTAAAGAACTGACAACCTTGTCTTGATTAATAGAGGAATCAGATTGATGATCTCGTGGAAAAATCAGAATTTGGATGTGATGGTGAAAAATGAGACAGAATTCATTGCTCTATATAAAAAGAGAAAATTCAATAATATAAGAGAAGTAGTGATTCACAGATCTCTTACCATAATCTTTGTTATTCTTTCCTGTTTCTCCGGTTCGACAGTCACATTTTCCAGCCTCCGCTCACAATCTGAGCGTGGTCGAGGCGAAAATGCAGAGATACAAAATGCGTCGCCGCTTTGAAAGTGTGTGAAGAGTTGCAAGGAAGAAACATGCTTATCTATGCAAATGACTTTATTTCTTCATGCGTACAAAAAAAAAAAAAACATCCCGTCAAGTCAGTCGTACCAGTTCTGTGTGTTTACTGCGAAATGAGCAGTAAATTCAGTTTACATGTGAAAATAAATAGTTAACAGATTCAGTATGAAATTGCTTATAAAAAAAATAAACAACCCAGTTACTGGTTTTCTTTTAAATAAATTATTTTCTTATTTAACAAGCAAGTAAATTAGCAATCCAGAAATTTCTTAATAGAATTAAAATGGTAACAAATTATATTTTCAGTGCATTTAAGACACAATCATAATTTTTTTTTTCTTTCTAATAAATAAGCAAGTATAAATAGATTAAATAAGGCATAATATAGAAGGTGATTCAAGCTCTCAGGCCTACAGTAGTCAACATGTACCCGTACTACAGCTACAGCTTGTCATAGCATTCGCAGCAGCAGGAGTAACGGTGGTAACAGCACCCAGTTCCCCTTCACAGCGCTGTTACGTTCATCTTTTTAACAGCTGCTACAGTGGACTAATGGACGGCAAACCCGCGCCGGCCGTACGCCACCTATTCTTCTCCATTTTCTTCATCGACGTGTTGGCGTCAACGAGGAAGATGTGGAGGTGGTACAGGATGCTGTGCGCCATCATCTTCTTCTGGAAGCTGTCGGGGTTTTTGATCCCCGCTAGCAGCTGCTCCTCCTGGCTGCTGGTCAGCGGCGTGACCCGCTCGCTGTGCTTCATCTGTGGGCCAGAATTGTAAAGTCATTGAAACAAGATACAGTAATAATAATTTAAAAAAAAAAACAGAAGTAAAAGTGAAAATATTTAACTAAAGCAGGGCAGTTCCCTCAAATATCTATAATTATTTGGTGGACTATAAGTGCTCAAGTAGTCATGAGGTAGTGAAGTATTTGTATTTTGTGCCCCATTCAACACTTCCAGTCCCCCTACGTTTTCAAAAAACACATATCTATAGTTGCAGAAACACATCGTAGCTCCTGTTACAGTTAAAGTTAGTTACTCAAGTGGACTATTTGTATCTTGCGGTGTAGCTGCTAAAGTGAAAGTTCTGAATACTTCTTTCACTACCGGTTGCGACTTGTTACAGAACTAAATGAAAGCTGTGGCGTCAAAACAGCGGCAGGGTAAAGCTCCTCTCTGCCTTCAAAAGCAGACTCATTTATTCTACTCTGCTTTTAAATAGGGCTCTGTTGGAGTATTTTATATCTATTTTAAATTTTCAGATTTTCATTTTATTGCTCTCCCTCCTGTGAAAGCACTTTGAGATGTCGCCTGATTTTCAAGTGTGCTATACAAATAAAATGTGTTATTGTTACAAGCCACAACAAATTCAAATATTAGCTTCTTCCCCAACGTCCAGCCCCGAAAGACAAGTCTCCAGCCTGTCCGACGTACCTTATTTTTGATCATGGTGATGATGGGCCCGCTGAATGATTTGGCCGCAGTGACGATGGAGCTGTTGGGGAGCTCCGTCGCCACGTGCTTGAGGAGAACAGTGTAGGTGAGCAGGCCCTGGGCCAGCCTCTGGAGACAAGCCTCCTGGATGGAGGAGAGGCGAACACCGTCAGTGCATCGCATCAAGTCGTACGGGGAAGATTAAACAGGAGGAGACCAAATACCTTGTTGAAGTTGGAGCTCGGGCACCTCGATGGGAACGAGGCGGATTTGTAGTGCTCGAGGAAGATCACGTCAGTCTGGAACTCATCTTCAAACTGACAGGAGAGATGATAGCAGAGAACTGATTAAGGCCAAAAAATGAGATAACTAAACATGGATAAGTTGACGTGATACTACTGGTATTTGAATCAACTTAATATTTTGTGTAACTTAAACTCAACTCGTTGATTTAGAACTAAATTCAAGTTGACGTATCTTGATGCAGCTGGCTTGACAACTCAGTCTTCCTTCCCTCCCCCTAACTTAACATACCTGAACAATTTAAGAAGTTAATAAAACACCTTAGATTGTAGAGAAAAGTTCATTCCTTTAATTCAATGTCGTGTGTTGGTTGAACATAATTCCATTTAAAAACTCAAAAAAGTCAATGCAAACTAGCTTTCTTATGAATTGTTAAGCCCGATCATTATTTATTAGAGAGCAGGGTTTATTTCCCCCCAGAGAGCGAGACATCAGCCTCATGCACTCCAACTTTCAAACTGACTCAGTAAAACTTCAGTGACTGATAAATCCCTCACCTCCTTCTTGTGGCGCTGGGTGACTTGAAGGAGCTTCTTCAGGTCAGAGGGCTCCTCCTCAACCACCTCAACCAACTCGCCCTCCTCACCCGAGGTGTCGCCCGCCAGACTTTCGGCGGTCTCGTCTCCGACCGGGGCTCCGGACGCAAACAGCAGCAGCGTCAGAGCTGCCAGCGCGGCCGCAGTGAGCGAGCGTAGATCTGCAGAGCATGAATGAATGAATGAATGAAAAAAAAAAGAAAAGGGGAAGACAAGGCAGGAAGCATGCAACACCACAGGCTGCGAATAACTTACTGAATGTAGAGGGCATGACTCGCTGCTGGGAAGAGCCTGTTGAGTTTCCGCTGATGCTGCTGAAGGCTGTTGGTGCTCGTCTCTGCCATGAGCCGTCAATTTATATTCTTCAGAATGGAGGGATTTCCCAGTACCTCCTTGCAGCAGGCGTGGAACTAGATCAATAGTTTGTGACAAGCATCCGGTCCGTAGGTGGCGGATGATGATCTTGATGAAGATGCTGTACCTTTAGATGGATGAAGAAATTCAATCTGCATTTATTATGTGTATTATTATTCTAATTATTA